AGTGCAGATAACTACTGCAAAAGGTAATACCATTGCAAAGAGGTGTTTAATAATGATTTTGTTATGTATATTTTATATGTTTCTTGTGTGCATATGAAACACAAACCTAAAGTTTTTAAATTACTTTTACCCTCTCTTAATCTTTTATTTCTAAAACATGAACCTTGAGAAACAAGTCAATTGTGGCAGGGATCTGGTGCCTCTTATAACTATATTAAAGTACCAGGGATCTGGTGCCTCTTATATTAAAGTAATTTATTCTTCTATAATGTACCTTTATATATATTTCATTTAAAAAGTTTGTATTCTACATTTAATATTTTATACCTTGCATTGTATATTTCAGTCTATGTTGCCCATGTATATGTAATTAGTATTTTATGTTGTATCAGTTATACATTTTATTTATTATAAAATAAATAAATATCTTTCTGTTTCTTTTTTAATGTTTTTATTATAATTTAGTATTTGAGTTTGAGCTAATTGATTCTGATGGTGAAATAGTTTCTCCTAACTACCCAAATAACTATGATGCTGACCAGGATTACTACTGGAAAATCTCTGTAAATCCCAATAAAAGAATTATGCTCTCATTTATTTCAATGGATATCGAAAGCGAGACTAATTGTAATTATGATTATATTCAAGTTAGAGATGGTAGAGACATTAAAGCTACTGAATTGGGTAAATTTTGTGGGAATCAAGAGCCTAGTTCTTTGATGTCAACAGGAAATCGAATGTTTGTACATTTTCATTCAGATAAGCAACAAACAAGAAAAGGATTTATTTTACAGTGGAAAGCAATTGATGCAACCATTACACCTATTTTACAGACAACAGTTCCTAAAAAAGGTTATTCAAAAATATTGAAATATATTTATAAATAATTTAGTACATATATGTGTACATATATATATATATATATATATATATATATATATATATATATATATATATATATATATATATATATATATATATATATATATAATTATGATTATATTCAAGTTAGAGATGGTAGAGACATTAAAGCTACTGAGTTGGGTAAATTTTGTGGGAATCAAGAGCCTAGTTATAACATATATATATATATATATATATATATATATATATATATATATATATATATATATATATATATATATATATATATATATATATATATATATATATATATATATATATATATATATATATATATATATATATAAATATGTATATGTATTATGTATATATTTATATATATATGTATATATATATGTATACATATACATATTTATTAATATAATAGTAATGATAATATATTACTAGCAGTAAGCAACCCGTAATAGGCGTTGTTAGTAAATAAAATTTAAAAAAAAAACGCGTAAAGAAAAGCCTAGAAGCTACTTTAAAATAGAAAAGCCTAGAAAATGACGTAATTCGACTAATAATATTAAATTAGCCTATTAATATTATCAGGTATATATACAACCCTCTGAATTAGGGTGTTAACATAGCACTAACTGCTGACCTTAAAGTGTATGAGGTCAGCAAAAAATTGCCGGCCTTGTTTTTTATGTTTTAAGATAACTCCTTTGTATGTATATATATGTATATATATATGTATATATATATATATATATATATATATATATATATATATATATATATATATATATATATATATATATATATATATATATATGTCGTTCTTTCTTAAATGCTCATTTAAAAAAAAATGAATTACTAATAAATTATTAATTTATTTTTTAGTTTAATGCATAAATATCTAGCATAGGTTTTAATGTAAGAGTGGCTACTTATAAATTGACTTTTTTAGTACTGAGATTTTTAACTACCAATATTTGTTAGAATTTTTCTTTTTTTCATTAAAATTTATGTTCATTTTTAAATCAGACTTTTACAAATGGCTAGTTAATGATAATTTAAATACAAAGTACATATATATGTGTTTATAAATTTTTTGTATATATTTTTAGTTTTTCAGTATGAATTAAATGATCCTGAAGGCGAGATTATTTCTTCTAATTTTCCACATGAATATGATGTTGACAAAGATTATTTCTGGAGAATACTTGTCAATCCTAATAAAAGAATTTTGTTGAGTTTTCAATATATGGATGTTGAAAGCAGTGCAAACTGTGAGTATGACTACATCCAAATCATTGATGGTAGAGATAAAATAGGCAATGTTCTTGGTAAATATTGTGGTAATCAAGAGCCAAAACCTCTGCTCTCTACTGCAAATCAGATGTTTATACACTTTCATTCAAACAAACAGTATGCAAGAAAGGGATTTATATTAAAATGGAAAGCAGTAGATATCATTGAAACAAAACCACCAAATATTCTTTCAACGATTGCTTCAACGCTTGCAAAAAAAGGTATGTTTGTATGTTGTAAGAAAAGTAAATTATGTTGTTAATTATGTTGTGAGGAAAGTTTTAACTTAAAATAAGACTTGAATTTTATATTTTAAAAAGTGTATTATATATTGAATATATGAAATATTATATCAAGTTTGTATATTATTTTAACTAAAAGTTTAATTTTTTCATATTTAGTATTTGAGTTTAATCTCACAGAATCTGAAGGAGAAGTTATCTCCCCAAACTACCCTAATAATTATGATGTTTCTAAAGATTTTTACTGGAAAATAACAGTAAAACCCAATCAAAAAATTCAGTTGTTTTTTCTTTTTTTGGAAATTGAGTTTGCATTCACTTGTAGTCATGACTACATACAAATTACAGATGGTAGTGGAGATAACCTTGGAAAATTTTGTGGCACTCAAAAGCCTGATATGTTAATGTCATTAGGAAATCAAGTTGTTGTTCATTTTCATTCTGATGACCAACAAACTAGAAAAGGTTTTATATTAAGATGGAAAGCTGTTGATGCTCTAACAACAAGTTCGCCAGCGACAACTTTAAAAAAATCTCCTAACATACAAGAAGGTTTGGTCTTTTAATTTGTTTTTGTATTTTTTTGTTCACTAATGTTTTGTATAGAAATTTTTACACAGCACATATTATACATAAAATTTAAAAATTGTGTGTATTTTTTCTCAATTCATCAACTTTTTTTTTCTCATAATATTTTTTTATTTGTTTATGATCTATGATTTGGATTTCTTAAATTTTGTGTGATGATTCATAGGTGATTTGTAGGCAAGATGATTCAGGTGGTTCTAAGGCAAGATGATTCATAGGTGATTCATAGGAGAAGTAATAACTATTGTAATTCATATATCATGTATTCATGTATCATGCTAATGCAAAATAAAATCCAAAACTAGCAAAATAACATCAGAATGCTTTTGAAAGGATTTGGTATAGAAAGTATATAAAAGATAAAAGAAAAATATTGAATAAAATAAATTATTCTATATCTAAGGTTTTATTTATAAATCCTAATCAACAACATCATGAAATAGGGAGAGGGGGTACACCAGAGAATATTGGCATGTAGTACTGTCTTCACCTGAAAGAAATTGATTTTTTTCACTTGTACATCTTGTCATACTTGTCTTTTAAAAGTTTGCAAAAAAAAGAATTTAAAATGTTCACTGCTCAAAGTATATTTATAAACACCAAAATTTACTTAATAATTCTTAAGTATATACAAAATTTACTTAATAATTAAGTTAATTTTAAATATGTCTGTGAAGCATATATGTGATATATAATCGTTATTTTGTTAACAACACTACTAATTAAAATCTACAATTAACAGAGGTGCTTATTCAGTCTTACAAAACATTTTTATACCAAAATTGATTTTTCAATTTCAATGATTTGTTTTCAATGCGAACGAGTTGTTTTCAATAGTGTGCTACTGTTATTTAAATTTTTTTTTATTAGAATTTTTAAAATTATTAGAAATAGTTATAAAAGTAATAAAATACTTCTTGAGGTTTTGATAAAAAAAACAATTAGCATCACAGTATAACAATATTCGCTCACAGCAAAATTAAACTTACATATATATATATATATATGTATATATATATATATATATATATATATATATATATATATATATATATATATATATATATATATATATATATATATATATATATATATATATATATATATATATATATATATATATATATATATATATATATATGTATATATATACACACATACATACATATATATCTGTGTGTATACACTACTGTCCATATTATTTGAATGTTCATGCTTTTCAAAGTTTTCAAAATTTTACTCACTATTGAGAGAAACACTGAAAGAAAATATTAACCAGAAAAATTAACTATTGGTTAAGTTTACATAATAAAAAATCTTAAAATCAAATTAAATTAATTAATTAATTTTATTCTTATCAAAGTAACCACTTTTGGCAGCAATAACCACTTTACATATTCTTTTCACATTTTATTCCACTCACTATTAAGTTTTTTCCACATATCCTTTGCACCTTTAGGCATTAGTTCTCCCTTCTATTTTTACAACGTCAACTGTAGTATTTATCTCCAAAACAACCAATCATAACGCTTGTTTTATCATCCATCTTCCAACATTTTTTTAAACAATCTTTTTTTGAACCAAAGATTTGAAACTTTGATTCGTTGGTCAAAAGAATATGTTTCCATTGATGTTTCGGCATTGATGGTCCATTTTCTATGTAGTTTTGCCCACTCTAGTCTATTTTTATTTAGTGGAGCTCCTTGAAATCAATTCAAAGTATAGGTTAATTACAGAGCTGTTAATAATTTATTTTTTACTATTTTGTTTACTAGTAATTGTAATTTTCCTATCTTCAATGCAGATATATTTTGATAACATTCAGATTTTTTTTAATTGACAAGTCTTCCAGTTTCTTTCTTCTTTTTTGTATTATTCCAAACTACTGAGCTCAAAATTTTAATTTATTTTTGCTATTTGACCCATAGAACATTTTTCTTGCCACAACGTGAATATTGAGTATTTTTTTCTACAGTCAACTCTCGTTTTCTGGCCATTTATCATGTAATAATATCAACAATTTATATAAATTCTTAAACTAATAGTTTAACAATTTATATAAATTATTGAAATTATAATTTAAAACTATTATACTCGAGACTAACTACTAAAATTTACTCCAGCAAAAATATAGCATAAATAAATGTCTTGAAATAAAATATACAGTAATAGTTAACAATATAGGCGATGTTTTGTGAAAAAGTGCTTACCCACATTTTTTAAAAGTTGAGTTTAGGACCATATTTGATCTCCTGAGGATCATTGTGTTGAATGAAAATGTTCTAACCAACATAAGTATTGTTGTGTCTTCTGCTGGCCCACAATTAATGAAACTTGCTTACCCACAAATGATGAATAAGTAAAAATCCCACAAATAAAATTTGTTGAATTAAGTTCTTCTTCAAGTATTTTAATTAAAAACTGATAAAAATTAAAGTTTTTAAAAAAATGAAATTTAAAGAAATGTAAAAGTGATAAAGATAAGTTAACTTTATGTTTTGTTAAGAAAAACATGCTGTGCACCTCCATATTTTTAATCAGTATAAGGTGAGCTCATTTATTTTGACACAACATAAATGCATAATATATAACAATAAATACATAATATATAAACTATTTTTAGATATAAATTTTTTAATGTAATCAACTTGCTATTTCTTGAAGTATATATATATATATATATATATATATATATATATATATATATATATATATATATATATATATATATATATATATATATATATATATATATATATATATATATATATGTATATATATATATATATATATATATATGTATATATATATATATAATTATATTTAGATGAATAAAAACAACTGATTAGCGGGACTTAAAGTTTCATGCCCGAAGGCAATCATCAGCTGTTAATACAAACAAAAAACGTAAACAAACCGTTACAAAAACGTAAAAATTACTGTAGAATGACATCTGACGTTATAAACAAATCTACGTAAAAAACAATCAAAAAACAAAAAACAAAAAACAAAAAGCCGTTATAGTTTATTAGTCCCCTGTGTCAAATAAAGGTAATAGGAATTTTTTTGAATGCCGACACTGAGAAACGATTTCGTTTTTTTTATTCAGTAGATTTTTTCCATTATGCGATAAAATTACATATTTTTCGTAGAGACAAAGGTGGCATATTTTTTGTTGCTAGATTGTAAGGTTTATAACGTTTGACAATTTTCCATTCTATAATGGGCTTTATGTTTTGGTCTTTTAAACTCCATATTTCCTTAGATAGTTCTGTGTCATTTCTATATTTAATTGATGCAAATGATTTGAGATGGTTTGCGTATCTTAGTTTAAATGGTGTATTACTAATGCCAAAATATACTTTTTTATTGCGATCATAATGACTGGAACTTACGGTTGCTTGATAGACAATATTGTTAGATAAACATTGATTGTTCAAAGGGCAAAATGCTTTATCTACGCAGTTACATTGGTTGGTTTTTAATTGATTTTTGTTGTGTAAAATTTTGGAATTATGCGAATTTATGATAGATTTTAGGTTAGGCATGCAACTGTAGCTAATCTTAATAGAATTTCGGTTGAATATTTTATGTAGCTTGTGACCGGCTGGAAAATGTAAGTCAATAAGGGCTAGAAAACGGTTTCCTATTTTTGTTTTGACGTTTAAGCTGAACGGAGGGTTATACCAAATAATATTACGTTTACGTTGCTTTTTTTGTTGATTTTGACTTGAGATTATTTGTGGTTGGTAGGTAAGGTTCGATTTGTATCCCGATTTTTTTAAAGCCTCTTCATACGGTGGAATAGCCTTTTTGAAGAAATTTTCATTAATTGACATGGAAGATAATCTTTGTTCGATATTGCGAGGGATTGCTTTTATTATGCTTGGAGGGTGGTTAGAATTAGAGTGGATGTACCTTATTTGATTATCAGGTTTAAAATATGGTTGAAACGTACCGTTACTTAGATTTAACGTAACATCGAGGTAGTTAACAATTTTTAAATTAGATTGAATGGTGATTTGAAGATCGTTTTTTTTAAAAATGAGTGTTATGTGCTTTTTGATTTTTTCCATTTGCTGACCATTTTTGTTCTTGAATGCAGCAAGACCGTCGTCACGATATAAGCCGAAATCTTCTTTATTATAATGTTGTGAAATTTGATACAGTATGAAAATACCTATTAATTCGCAAACTTCAGCACCCTCAAATGCCCCCATTGTTACATCGAACAACCCACCTCTTTTTTTAATCCATGCTTCATCTTTGTTGAAGATAAGAGATTTTCTTGCATGCTTTATTAATGCTTTGTCTTCGCTTTTGATAACGATATGATGGTCATGACATATATGATATAATGACATATATATTTATATATAGTTAATATACGTCATGATACGATGACATATATATATATAGTTAATATACATCAGAATCGATTAGAATTAGGATCAGTAGTAAATTAAAAAACTTTTTCAAAAGATTTTAACTAAATTCATATTAATGCCGATGAGCGCAATTGATCTAAAGACTCCAAATTAGTGTTCTTTAGATACACTATTACGGGTAGTAAAAAGGCTTTGAAAATTATATATAAAAAAAGAAAAGTTTCTTTAAATATTATAAAAACTTTAAGCAAAAAAAATTGTTGCATTTAAAGATCTTGTTTAGACATAATATGCTGACAAAATCATGCTAATTCAAAATAAAAGTATTCGAATATTGTGTAAATCGCCTTAGTTAGTACTTAAACACATCTATTTTTTATGAAATTTTCCATATTTATTAAGAAAAGGACGAGGAATTTCCATATTTATTAAGAAAAGGACGAGGATAAAGAAATAGACGAGGACGAGGAAAGAGAAATATTTTTGTTCTTATGACCCGTAAAATATGGGTCTTGAAAATGTATTCCAAACCTTTTCTATACAATTTTCTAATATTCCTTACCTCAATATATTTGAGTAAGAGGTAGGAAAGTAACTATACAAAAATAGAAAAAAAATACTCATTGTTTTCATTTTTTAGCTATAAAAAAAAATTCTATCGTAAATAATTTAAAAAAATATGAGATGATTTAAATATGCGTAACAACGGACTTAACATGAGCCGTTTAATACTGCTCATGGTCGAGTCTATTCCACACCGACCAAAATAACTTCTCTTTATTTCAATAATTTTTAAAGAGATAAATATAAAAATCTTTGTTTTGATATAAACATAAATGTTTAATACTTCATAACTTCAATAAATTTCTATATATAAAAAAAACAAAAAACAGGACAGCTGTTATTTTTTTCTTTAATAAGTTTCTAATTTTTTTTCCGAATCTGCAGGTTATTAGGACTCTTGCCCTGTTAATTTTGAAGAAAAATCATTTTTTCTTTAAAATTAACAGGGCATATAAAATATTTTCCTATAAGAATTAAAGTTGTCCCTTAAATGTACAGACTTTACTAATTACTAAGCACATTAACAAATTAAACATCATGACATATGCTCAACAAAATTTTAACAGTGTACTCATGTTTTTAGAAATTTTAAATCTTTTTAAAAAATTCTCTCCCTTTCGTTCATTATAGTATATAACATCTTGAAATAATATCTATATCTTGATATATCTAAAATGCTTATATATCTAGATATATCTAAAATGCTTATAGGGCTTTAAAAATGTTTTATTTTATCAATAGGGCTTTAAAAATATTTTATTTTGTATTCTAGAAAATTGGAAAAGATTTTTAAAAAATTAAGTGTAAACAAAAGGATTTAAACCCACGCGAAGCACTTAAACCACTTTGGGATGTTTTAAAGGAAAAAAAAAAAAATCTGTATTGTATTAATGCAATTAATGTATTAACTGGAAATCAATTTATTTATACATAATAACAAAACAAAATATATAAAGGACTTTCCTTGTTTACAAAAAAAAATTCAACTATATTTACATTATCAATAAAGCATTCGTAGATTAACCAATATTTGGTTTAAATAGTAGAATAACCAACTAAATAAATGCTAATTAAAGACACAGCGTTTTTTTATCTACTACTCACTCTCCTCCTCAACATATGTATACATATAAAGAGGTAGGTATGCTTTTGCCCTAAATTTGAACCCACACCTAGTGAGATGTGGGCCCTCTATTCTTTCTGCAAAATGCTAAAAAAGCATCATAAGTCTAAAATGAAATAGAATTAAATTAAATAATGACATGAAAAAAAGTAAAAGAAGTAAAATAACACTGCAAACCAATTGCAACCTGTTGCTGAATTAACAATCAAAATCTGTAAGAAAAAAAAAATTACTCTATGTAGCAAGTACACCGTTTCTCTAACAAAAATTACTTTATGTGTAACAGAAAAAATTTCTTATAATTAAAAAAACCAAAAAAAATGTTATTTGACCAGAAAATAAATTTATTCTTACTTTAAAATAATTAATGCTTACTAATTTAAAATCATATTTTAACAGTAGACAAAATAAACATATAATAGTCTGCGGAGCACCAAACTAGAACTAAAGAAATAGAATAACAACTAAATTTAAAATGTTTTTAATACATATTACTTGCAATTAAAACATAAAAAATAACTCTACCTTTCACAAAATAAGGTAAAGTTGTTAAATCTAAAAAAAAAAAAAAAATTAATAAAATGTTAATTTTTTAAGTAGTATTATCTAAAAAAGTATAATCTTTTTAATTAAAAACAAAAATAATTATTTTAATTAAATTATTTTTGTTTTTAATTAAAAAGATTATACTTTTTTAGATCATACTACTTAAAAAATTAACATTTTATTAATTTTTTTTTTTTTTTTTGTTTTTTTTTGTTCGATTTAACAACTATACCTTATCTTGAACAGATAAGGACACATAGATAAAGAGCATTTCTTTTATATTAGGTTCATTAAATTTTTTAAAGGTCATTAAAGTTCTTTTATATTACAAGTATTTAATAGTAGACCTATGAATACCTGCGATAACCAGTGATTATGAAAATTAATAAAGTGTTTAAAAAATTTTTAATGAAAATATATATTATTTTGACAATGACAATATATTATTTTGACATCAACACTGTCACAGCAGCTCTTGAATCATTATAATGTTTTGCATGTTCTGTTGACTTAAATTTTGATGGTGTTCAGTGTAAAAATAAAATTTTCAACAAACTTTTTTGTAAACATAATTCAATTTTTGCTAAATTATTATTGAAAGAAAAAGAAATTTTTGAAAGAATATTTAAAGAAAAACTTTATAGTTCTATAGATTTTATATTCTATATATAAACAAGTTGTTTACTAATTTTCTTGCACGAACTCAACTTAGTTGTAAATAAACTTGAAATGTTAAACTAATTAAGTATCTCAATAATGACAAATTCACAAAAAAATTTAAAAAATCGCCAGTGGTAAGACTCGAGCCACGGTTTTCTTGTTCAGAAGCTCAGCGCGCTAACCACTCGGTTATGCAGGCACGTTGTCGATCGGAATTTTAAAACTATATAAAAATTGTTTTTAACGATATAAATACTAAAGATCAGAAATTAAGAAGAGGTTGACGCAATGGAGTTTTTAAGTAAAAATCAAACTATAAAACTTAATATATTTTTAAGCATGTTTTAGCATTACACAACATGAAGTTTACTTACGTACGATATAAGTTTCACGTTTGCTCACGTTTTCTTATAAAGCAAAGGTGAAACTTGCCAATACCTCAGTTGCAATGGCTGCTAAGGGTTTCGTGTCAAATACGCTCCAAGGGACACTACTACTATTAAAACTATTAAGTTCGGCAATAATATATAATAGATATACTATTATTACTTTTTACTTTTAATCATAGTAGTCTTGCAACAATATTTTTAACAATTTTTTTGTTTAAAATATAAATTTTTTGTTTTTGAATTAATATATTTTTTTGCATCTTTTTTACTGATTCTTTTTTAAAGTTTCTTTTTAGTGTTTTTTTTTTTCTTTTCCTTTTTGATTTTATTTGAATTTTTTTTTTTTACTTTAGTTTTTGAGTACACATTAATGGGAAGTAATGGTGAGATAAAGTCTTCTAACTACCCTAGAAATTATAAAATAAATCAAGATTATTACTGGACAATTAATGCTGAACCAAATGAAATAGTACGCTTGTCATTCATTGCTGTTGACATAGAAACAAGCTCTAATTGTGATAGCGATTACATTATCATTAGAGATGGGGAAAGTAATGATAAAATAATAGGCAAATATTGTGGTCAGATTTTACCTGATCCCATCTCAAGTTCTGGTAATCGCATGTTTGTGCACTTCCATTCTAATGAGCAGTATACAAAATCTGGTTTTAGGATAAAATGGGAAGCTTTACCAAAGTTTGGACCAACTACAACACCTGTTGTAAAAGTTGTTCCTAATGGTAGAATATTACATTTTTATCAACATTTTTTACATCATCTATCTAGTTATAACTAAAATTATCTAGTTATAAATATATTATAATAATAAACTTATTTTTATTTTTTTATTTTTATTTTGTGTTTATTTATTTGAAATTTAGTAAAGAAACTTAAATGGGGAAGGGTCTAAAACTTGTTAGGTTCTTTTAATTTAATTTACTTTTTCATTTGGGTTTTTAGTGTTTGAGGAAACATTGTACGGAAGTAGTGGAGAAATCAGGTCATCAAAATATCCCAGAAATTATGAAATTAACGAAGATTACTACTGGACAATCATTGCCGAGCCACATGAGGTCATACGTTTGTCATTTATTGCTGTTGATATTGAAACAAGCTATAATTGTGGTAATGATTATATTATGATAAGAGATGGTGAAAGCAGTGATAAAGTTCTTGGTAAATATTGTGGTCAGACTATACCTGATGCCATCCTTAGTTCTGGTAATCGCATGTTTGTACACTTTCATTCTAATGAGCAATATACCAAATCTGGGTTCAGATTGAAATGGGAAACTTTACCTAAACTCAAACTTACAACAACTCCTGTTACTAAAGTTGTTCCTAAAGGTATTATTAGTATTATTTTAATAAAAATATTATTGTAGTGAAATTGCTCAATTTTTTTAATTTGTTATTCTTATTTGGATTTTAGTGTTTGAGGAAACATTATACGAAAGTAATGGAGAAATCAGGTCATCAAAATATCCAAGAAATTATGAAATTAACCAAGATTACTACTGGACAATCATTGCCGAGCCACATGAGGTCATACGTTTGTCATTTATTGCTGTTGACATTGAAACAAGCTCTAATTGTGATAGTGATTATATTATGATAAGAGATGGTGAAAGTAGTGACAAAGTTCTTGGTAAATATTGTGGTCAGACTCTACCTGATGCCATCCTTAGTTCTGGTAATCGCATGTTTGTACACTTTCATTCTAATGAGCAATATACCAAATCTGGGTTCAGATTGAAATGGGAAGCTTTACCTAAACTCAAACCTACAACAACTCCTGTTACTAAAGTTGTTCCTAAAGGTATTTTTTAGTATTGTGTTGGTAAAAATAGCATGAATGTTGTAAACAAAATTATTTTAGTTATTTGAAAATTATACAAAATAGAAAATGGTGAGACAGGTAGTTAAATTACTCTTATGTAATAACAATAATAATTTTTGTGACTTCTTGTAAAATATTTTGAGTTAAGAAAAGTAAAAAAAAAATAGAAAAGTTAATGCAAATTTTTTAATATTTCATAATAAGATCAAATTAAAGTCTGCAAGTCTGCAAACTGAAGGTGAAAAAGTGAGGGCTTTAAAATGAAGGTGAAATAGTGTGGGCTTCAAACTGATGGTGAAAAGGTGAGGGGTTCAAACTGATTTGAAAAGGTGAGGGGTTCAAACTGATGGTGAAAGGGTGAGGGCTTCAAGCTGATGGTGAAAAGGTGAGGGGTTCAAACTGATTCTAGTACAAGCTGCACAAAAACTTTTTTTAACAAAAGTTGAGAATAGTGGATTAAAAAGTGGATTAACAAAAGTTGAGAATAAAGGATTTTAAAAGTAAGATTTAAAGAACATTTTAAGAGTAACCATGGTTTTACATAGTATATTTGAAATACAAGATCAATTGGAACTTAGTTTAAAAAAACATAGTGATTTCAATATCTTGAACTGTATGAAACAGTTTTATTATTGGTAGCAGAAATTCAATGAATATGAATGAATAGGTAAAAAATATCTTCCCTAGCATAAATAGCAAAATTTGTTGGTTGCTATTTTGAGTTGCCTGTCATTTGAACATGCAGAGATTTTTTTTTAAAGTATTTACAAGATGAATTTTGTTAGTCATCTTATGATTGGTACAACTTTATATCATCTGTAAACAGCTTAATACCACAATCTCTACTAATGCAAGAAATTATGTCATTAATAAAAATAATATTGATTCTAGTACAGTTCCCTGTGGTATTCAACCCTTTACTGGAATATTTTATGAGGTACCAATTCATACATTGAGAACAATTAGTTATAAAAACTTTAATTCAAATAAACAATTCTAATTTATTGCCATTTTGTTGTAGTTTGGATGAGTTACTGAGTCAAATGTTGTAGTTTAGGATGAGTTACTGAGTCAAATGCTTTTTCCAAATCAGTTTAAAATGAGTTACTGAGTCAAATGCTTTTTCCAAATCTATACTGATTTGGAAAAAGCATTTGACTCAGTAATGTTTGGTATAGTACTCAAAAAGTAAGGTGAAATTGTTTATAAAATGTAAATTCTTTATTTATTCTTCTAAAACAGTTTAGGATGATTTTCAAATGCTTTTTCCAAATCAGTTTAGAATGAGTTACTGAGTCAAATGCTTTTTCCAAATCAGTATAGGATGAGTTACTGAGTCAAATGCTTTTTCCAAATCAGTATAGACGACGTTAACTACCTTTTTGTTGTTTATGGCAGAAGTCTATTTGTTTCAAGCCAACATTAACGTGCATGTGGATCTGTGATTTAAAAAACCAAATTGATGAAGCGAGATAAAGTTATTTGCTAATAAATAGTTTTTTATGCTTTGAAAACAATACAGGTTATTGAAATAGATATGTAGTTAGTAGAAAAGGGTTTCCTTTCTCAAAAGTTAGACAAATTATGGCTGATTTCCAAATATTTGGTATAGTACTTAAAAAGTACGGTGAAATTGTTTATAAAATGTAAATTCTTTATTTATTCTTCTAAATCAATTTTATCCCCTTCAAAGTAATCCCTTTCCAATAAAATTCTGTTTTTATCTCCTCAACCATGTCAAAATGGCGTCCCTGCATTGGACTTTTGAATTTGCTGAATAGTCAGAAGTTTGACGGGGCTAAATCAGGCCTATATGGTGGTTGCGGAACAATATTAGTGGAGTTTTTGGCAAAAAATTCAAGAAGAACCAATTAAGTATGACATGATGTATTATAGTGATGAAGGAACCAATAATTGTTTGGCCATAATTCCAGCTTTTTTCGACAAATAGCTTGACGCAACTGAAGCATAAGGCTCAAATAATGTTCTTTGTTGACAGTTTGGCCCTTCTAAAGGAATTCATAGTGCACCATACCACGATAAAGAAAATTGTCAACATGACCTTGATTTTCAATTGACTTCGCAGTGGTCTTTTCAGTCTTGCTTCACCTTTTTTCACAATATTCGCTGGATTGGTCAGAGCTTTCAGGGTCGTATGCATAAATCCAAGTCTCCAGTAATAATTCATTTCAAGTGGTCCTGATAGTCAGACAACAAAGTTTCACACACATCAACACAACGCTTTTTATCCAAAAAGTTGAGCGATTTCGGCACCAATTGAGACTTGATGTATTTGAGACACAAAACGTTTTTCAAAATGGTTTGGGCTGAGTCAAATGGTATTTCAACACTATCGACAAGATCTCTAATTGTCAATCAACCATTTTCAAGCATTAAATCTTTGATTTTTTGGGCGTGTCTCTTGTCAGTAGATATTGATGGTCATCCAGAGCGCGGTTTGTCTTCAATGTGTTCTCAGCTCTCTTTGAACTCATTGTATCACTTATAAATGTTTTTGTGTGCCATAGTTTGATCACCAAAGGCCTTCTGCAACATTTTCAACCTGTCCACACTAGAATATTTGTTTTGCAAACAAAATTTGATACTAGTTCTTCGCTCAACAAAATTACCCAATTACCCATTGTATCTCGGAGATGATTAAGCCTTTAGATAAACAGATGCTTGGTAATTCTTATAGACAATCCTACCAACCTAGGAAAAAAAAATTACCTGCCTTCATAATGCCCAGGAGTTTCAAATGACAATTTCATCTTACTTTTTGATCACAGTAGTATATGTAGTCATTAACTATTCAAACAAAATTGAATGAGGAAAGGCAATCGTAGTCTTATTAATTTTAAAAATATGGTGGGGTAACCCTTTAGAGGTTTGGAAACCTTTGCTGGGAATTTTTGTATCGATGAAACAATAGAATCATAAGTAAATGATAAGTTGCTCAAGGAGTTTTGATAGAATAGAATATTTAACAGCGGCCTAACATATATCTGTGACAAAGACAGAAGCATAAAAGTTGTTTAAAAGGCTTAAATTTTTCCATTAGCTAAACATAGAGAACTATCAGCACTTACAAGTTGTGCAAGAATGATGACACTTGTTTTTTGACTTGACAAAAGAGTAAAACTTGATATTTTCTTTATTGGCAATATTTTTCTTTATAGTACTTGTTTATATTTCAGCATTGTAATTATAGTACTTGTTTATATTTCAGCATTGTAATTATAGTACTTGTTTATATTTCAGCATTGTAATTATAGTACTTGTTTGAATTTCAGCATCGTATAGACATCAGTAATTCTTGTATTTGGTAAAAGTGTGTACGTTGGAATTTCTCTTATATTTTTTATAGTTCAAACATCTTGTTTTGATTGTCATTGGTAATGCTAATTATATTTTTTAATTTTTTTTTTTTTTTTTGTGTTCAACTATATGGATACAATTTGAACTATGAGAACTTAGTTGAACTAAGAGCGGTGTAATGCTTTTGGTTCCGATGAGGTAAATCTGGTTTAATTTATTTAAAGTTATATCAGGGTTGGTCAATAGGAATTGTTATTCACTCTAGATTGTTTTTAACTTTATTGTCCATGAGAACCGCTATTATTGGGTTGGGTAGTTCAGGAGTCCTTACACTGGCTTTGATGCAAAATGGTTTTATACATTTTGCCTCCTATAGTGAAAATATTTTTTCATCATTGATTCGGTCTTGATCTTTTGCAATAAATGGATTGATGCTGTATTTTTATGACAAAATATATTTCTGGAATATCAAAATAAGAATGTTTTCTCTTTTTTCATGAGTTTTAACCTCTTGGAAACTAATACGTTACCAAGTAGTGGTGTAAAGATTCAATTTAGTAATCCGTTTTTTAGTAATGTTAAGTTTTTCCAGTAGTGTGTGTATATTTGTATCATACTTAGTTAGCAGTTTAGAATTCAAAATTGAATAAATTAATTTTGTTTAAGGTTTTTTTGATTTTTAGAGTTTGATTGTTAGTTGTTGTTTTTTTTTTTGAGTGAATGATTTAATTTAAATATTTAAAGTTATTGGTTTTGGAAATGATTTCTTTATAGTTTTAAACAAATTTCCAATTTAAAACTTATAATCTTAATAATAAATAAATATAGTACTTCGAACAATTTAATAGAGTAATGAATATGCTAAAACTAACCAATTATATATAAATCAAGTATAATTGTTAACAGATAAGAAAAAATAGCAAATAAATAATTTTCAAATTGAGCTTAATAATAGATTCAAGTTTTCAAACCCAAAATAAAAAGATTAAAACAAAATTAAAGCAAATAAACCATTTGCTAATTTTAGTGAAAATAAACAATTGCACAATGTCAAATAAGGATTTTAGAACAATTACAATGAAATTGTAAAAATTGAAATTGTCACGCAAAAGCAGAGGAAAAACTGTTGAAAATATCTTTATAATAAATCTTAACACTGTGAATAAGGAAGAATTTCAAACTTTTTAGGCTCTTTTAATTTATACTTTTCATTTGGGTTTTAGAGTTTGAGGAAACATTGTATGGAAGTAATGGAGAAATCAGATCTTTGAAATATCCAAGAAATTATGAAATTAATCAAGATTTTTACTGGAAAATCATTGCCGAGCCTTATGAGGTCATACGCTTGTCATTTATTGATATTGACATCGAAACAAGCTCAAATTGTGATAATGATTATATTATGATTAGAGATGGTGAAAGTAGTGACAAAGTTCTTGGTAAATATTGTGGTCAGACTCTACCTGATACCATCCTTAGTTCTGGTAATCGCATGTTTGTGCACTTCCATTCTAATGAGCAATATACCAAGTCTGGGTTCAGATTGAAATGGGAAACTTTACCTAAACTCAAACCTACAACAACTCCTGTTACTAAAGTTGTCCCTAAAGGTATTTGTAGTATTATTTTAGTAAAAATAATGTTATTGTTGTAAACTTGTTAAATTTTTTCAAATTTTTCTTCTTATTTGGTTTTAGTGTTTGAGGAAACATTGTACGGAAGTAATGGAGAAATCAGGTCATTGAAATATCCTAGAAATTATGAAGTTAATCAAGATTACTACTGGACAATTATTGCCGAGCCAAATGAGATCATACGTTTGTCATTTATTGCTGTTGACATTGAAACAAGCTCTAATTGTGATAATGATTATATTATAATAAGAGATGGTGAAAGTAGTGACAAAGTTCTTGGTAAATATTGTGGTCAGACTCTACCTGATGCCATCCTTAGTTCTGGTAATCGCATGTTTGTGCACTTCCATTCTAATGAGCAATATACCAAGTCTGGGTTCAGATTGAAATGGGAAACTTTACCTAAACTCAAACCTACAACAACTCCTGTTACTAAAGTTGTCCCTAAAGGTATTTGTATTATTATTTTAGTAAAAATAACGTTATTGTTGTAAACTTGTTAAATTTATTCAAATTTTTCTTTTTATTTGGTTTTAGTGTTTGAGGAAACATTGTTCGGAAGTAATGGAGAAATCAGGTCATTGAAATATCCTAGAAATTATGAAGTTAATCAAGATTACTACTGGACAATTATTGCCGAGCCAAATGAGATCATACGTTTGTCATTTATTGCTGTTGACATTGAAACAAGCTATAATTGTGGTAATGATTATATTATGATAAGAGATGGTGAAAGTAGTGACAAAGTTCTTGGTAAATATTGTGGTCAGACTCTACCTGATGCCATCCTTAGTTCTGGTAATCGCATGTTTGTACACTTTCATTCTAATGAGCAATATACCAAATCTGGGTTCAGATTGAAATGGGAAACTTTACCTAAACTCAAACCTACCACAACTCCTGTTACTAAAGTTGTCCCTAAAGGTAGATATCACGATACTAATAAATTTTTTTTTTTAAATGAGGTATTGTTTTTATGGCTTAATATGCATATATATATATATATATATATGTATATATATATATATATATATATATATATATATATATATATATATATATATATATATATGTATATATATATATTTATATATATAATTATATATATATATATATATATATATATATATATATATATATATATATATATATATATATATATATATATATAAATGAATTTTTTTATTATTAATAAAGTTTGACAAGCAATTAAGCCGATCAAACTTGATCAGCCCAATTGATATATATATATATATATATATATATATATATATATATATAGATATATATATATATATATATATATATATATATATATATATATATATATATATATATATATATAAATATGTATATATATATATATATATATATATATATATATATATATATATATATATATATATATATATATATATATATATATATATATATATATATATATATATATATATATATATATATATAAATTAGTAGAAAATCACTTAACAAAAAATTTTTTCATTTTACACTGTGTTTCATCAACAAAGACTCATCAGAAATGAATGATTAAATTAATAACTTCAATTTATACCAAAAAATTAAATTACAGGGAATCGCAAATGCTTTAACTACTGTAAATATATATATATATATATATATATATATATATATATATATATATATATATATATATATATATATATATATATATAAATCAAAATAAATCTTCATATTTGATATATATATATATGTATATATATATATGTTTAAAAAAAACATTTGGGCTGGATTTTTTTGATTAAAACTATATAATGAATGCACACCATTAAATTTAAAATTCACGTTTTAGTCGAAGCTTGCTGCCTTCCTTTTTTTTTTTTGGCTCTAGGAGTCTGTATAATGTTAGCCGCAATCTGCAGACTTGATAATTTATTCCATGCGTGTTTAATTCATAACAGTTTCGGTATATGACCTCATCATATAAGTTTTTTCTTTTAAGATATCATGTTATTTTTTTGCCACAATCACCGAATCATGTTAATTGTATAACTTTTTACTAAATCGCAAAAAAAAGTTTATCATGCAATTAAATTTTTAATATATTAAAATTTAATATATAACGAATATTTACAGTACTGGTTTAAACTAAATATAAACTAGATACTAAAAGAATAATTTTACTAAAACGTATAAATTAATTTAAAGTATAAACTGAATAAAAAACAAGTGACTTGAATAAAACATAACAAACTGAAGTAGAAAACAAATATTCAACTTATTTTATTACTTATTATATTTTTACTATATTATATGACTAATTTTACTAATAACCGTTCAAATGAAACTAAACTAAAGTTAAAACAAATATTTGTACTAAAATTTACAAAAAATAGTTATAATAAAAGTATAAAAACAAAGAATCACATTAACTTTTTGTAGCAACTGAATTTTTTTGAATAACATTAAAGCGTATCATCGACAATTATTTAAAATTCGATAAAAATAAAGTTTTTAACATGCATCATTAAACAAAAAGAAATTAAAACTATTGTTTTTATAAGTAGTAACTAAAACATAAAGTCCTCATTTAATGAATAAAAATATTATTTTTTCTTCAAAATACTTTGGTAATTACTTAACTAAATACTTAACACTTAGGTTTTACAATGTTAACGCTGTTTTATTTTATAACTAAATTCAAAGTTTTTTTTATGAAGGATTTGTAAAAAATCAAGATTTTTTAACTTTGTGATAACTTTTTTATAATTACTTAATATAGCTCTTATTTTTTCTTGATTATGTAGAGAATTAAACCTTTAGAACAAACAAATTCTAGTTGTCTAGAATGGAAATTTATGTACAAAAGAAGATAAATTGTAAAGCATACTCAAAAGCCGCTACCAGTGGCTTGCTGTAGTGAAAGAGTTAAACCTTAACTAAATGTAAATTAAACATAAAACAAACAACTCTAGAAACCATATGAACTAAATATAAAACAAGAAACTGCATCATACTGCCTTTATTTTTTCTCTGCCTGCGAACTCTAATAGTCACAAAATATGTATAATTGTGTCATGATTTTGGGTGGCTTCTAAAACAAAGTAATAAAAAAGCAAGTAAAAAAAAAATTATAAATATAAAAATATATATATATATATTCATATAATTTTTTAATAAATCATAAATTTTTTTTGTGATTTAGTTAAAAATTATACAAATATTTGATTTTCCGAATTAGAAAAAAATACTTATATCTTTAAAAAAACAACAACAAAAAAATGCTATTTTAAAAAAACCGAAACTGTTATGAATTATCACGCATGGAATAAATTATCAAGTCAGCATATTGCGGCTAACATTATACAGACCCCGAGATCCAAAAAAAATATGTTTTCTAATTTTATTGAGCTGTGGACCATATTTTTTACACATTACTATTAAACTATTGTCTTGATAAAAGCCTAAATCATTTATATTGATTATTTTACTTAATAAAATCTAAAATATATAGCCCAACAAATTCACAAATTTCTGCTCCATCATAACTGCCCATTGTTACATAAAAGCAGTCATATGTTTTTCTTTTTCCAAGTTTCCTTATTAAAATAAAGTAAAGTTTTTCCTCAATCTTTTATTATACAGATTGTTTCTTCAGGAATAACTGTGTGGCTTTTCACAAATTCAATTGATTTATCTAAAATATCTGCAGTTATGTCAAATTGAATAAACCTACAGTTCTATATCCAAAATATGTGGTTTATAAATGTGTTGTTTCCTCTAAGAATGTACCTGAATAACAATATATTTGGCATTACAGAAGCTGAATGGAAAAAACGTTTTGCCAATCATAAGCAATCCTTTAAAAATAAAAAGTATTCAAAAGACACCATGCTGTCAAAATATATATGGGAACTAAAAGATAAAAATATTGATGATTTTATAATGAATTGGTCCATCCTTAAAACAGCACCTGGATATAACAATATTTCCAAAAAATGCATACTATGATTACAAGAAAAATTATTACACATGCAAATAAAGAATGTTTATTAAAAAAAATTGGAATTAATTTCTAAATGCAGGCACAAAGATAAGTTTCTCCTAAAAAACTATAAAAATAAGTGAGCTAAAATAATGATTACATTAAATCCCTCCTTTTTAAAAAATATTTAAAAAAAAAAAGTAATCAATTCTAAAGAATTCTTTTTATAATAGTGTCAGTATATTCCACCAATGTGTAAAAATTTACAGTAGTTATGACATTTGCGACTTTCTGTAATTTAATTTTTTGGTATAAATTGAAGTTTTATTAATTTGATTTTTCATTTCTGATGAGTCTTTATTGATGAAACACAGTGTTAAATTAAAAAAAAAAAACTTTTTATTTAATGCTGTGTTTTCTACTACTTTATATTTTTTATACTTAACTTATACTTATTTTTTATACTTAATCACTTTAACAAGTGATTTTTTACTACTTTATATTTTTTATACTCAACTCTGTTCTTTTAAGAACATTGAGCACTCTATTTTGTAGAATTCATTTTAAAATTGTTTATATATATATATATATATATATATATATATATATATATATATATATATATATATATATATATTTATATATATTTATATATAAACACATTTACACTCTATTACTTTTATAATTTTTTTCTTAGTGTTTGAGTATACATTAACTGGAAAGAATGGTGAAATCAGATCAGCAAACTATCCAAGAAATTATGATGTCAATCAGGAATTCTATTGGACAATTAATGTTGAACCTAGTGAAATCATTCGCTTGTCATTTGTTTCGTTTAATATTGAGCCTAGTACTAATTGTATTCATGATTATATTATTATCAAAGATGGTAAATATAATGGTTATATCTTAGGTAGATTTTGTGGCGTGAATTTTCCAAACACTCTACTTAGTTCTGGAAACCACATGCATATTCAGTTTCATTCTAATGATAGAATTACTAACAGTGGTTTTTTATTGAGGTGGAATGCCTTAAACAAGCTGAAGCCAATAATAGTTCCAACACCTCCTAATAATGGTATTTTTACATATAAGAAATAATATTTATATAATTCTTATTTTATACAAAAGGAAAAAAATAAATATTTTTTTCCTTTTGTATATTATTTCTGTACTTTTTTTCCTACTGTATTTTATTTCTGCATTTTTTTTTTCTATTGTAACTTATTTCTGTAATTGTTTTTTTTTTTTCTGCAAGTTATTTTTGTAGTTGTTTTTTTTTTCTACTGAAACTTATTACTGTAGTTTTATATAGTAGTTTAATAATAACAATTTAATTGCAGTTTTTTTGCACATAGAAAAAATAGTCTGTAATATGTCATACTGACACTCTGTCTGATACTAATATGTCATACTGACACTCAAAGGAAGAATGAACCACAAGACAATTAATAAAATGCTTTATTCAAAATATTATAAGTTACAATGCAACTTTTTAATATGATAATTACAACTCTAATAATTATTTTTACTGCTTTCTCTTTTATTACATTTCTTTTTTATTTCTTTTTTATACTTTACTCTTGCTCTTGTTGCGATACTTATAAATTGTTTATAAAGATTTTTCTAGAATTGTAAATTGTACTTTTAATAGTTCCTTCATATTGTTTGGTAGTTCTTTTGCACTCTTCACTTGGTAATTCCTTCTCACCATTTTCCTCCTCTTCAATGGGCTGCAGGCTCATTGACTAGGATTTTAGTGTTCATGATCAATGTTAATCTCAGAGATGGAAAAAGTAAAAAAAATTGTACTTAAGTAAAAATACTGTTTCTTGAGTGAAGTTTTACTCAAATACAAGTAAAAGTTACCAGTCAAAATAAAATAAAAAATAAAAAGTAGCTAATTAAAAATGTACTGAGTACATTTTTAATTAGCTACTTTTTATTTTTACTGACAGGCAGTAACTTTTACTTTAGAGTAAAAGTTACTGTCAGATAACAAATCTGATAACAAAAAAGATAACAAAAGCCTGTCAGATAACAAATGTGTCGAATAAAAATAACATAGTCTATTCTTTTCTGTATAAATTTAAACTATAAACTTTTTGTTAAGTTTGAGAAGCAGTTGGTTTTCAAAGTTGGCTGATTTTATTCTTGCCTGCTTTGCAGTGAATAAGTCCAGCACCGCTGAATAAACACTCACAGGCAGCAGAGGCAGGAAGACCATTGTTCAGTTTAAGAGAAAGGTTTTTGATGCATGGAAATGAGTTCAACAAATCCATTTTGTTCGAACTGTAAGCAAAGTACCCATCAAACTCCCCTGTACCTTGTGATCTTCTAGATTTTATTGATGAAAAGAAATCTTCTGATGAAATCTTCTGATGAATGTTACCCAACCTGCTCCACTTCAGCTATCTGGTCAATGTGTTGTCTCTTATAGACCTGACCTATTTAAAAACAAAACAATACATATTATATTTTTAGCAATGCAAAGATTCATTTTACTGTACTTAAACAACATTAGATGATTAAGTAGTAAAAAGGTTGACAAAACACAGTACACTATGACATAAAAAAAAAGAAATCATACCTGCTCCTATAATTTCACTCCAGTGAAATTATAGGAGCTCCTGCTCCTATAATTTCTGCTCCTATAATATTAGTCCAGGTGTTCTTGAACTTTGGCAGAAGAATTGTTGCAGCAATTAGTTTTGAGTCTTACATCATTCTACCAAAACGTTTTTGAACACCATCCTGAATTGCTTTAATATAGGGCAGACACATTTTGGAGGATTCCCCAAGCCAGCTGAATTTTGTTTATAATTGAAAGATCACTGGCAGGAGCCATCCCATGTGTGTGTTGGTCTCAGACTGAAGAATGTCCATTGCTTAAACAACAGGTTTCATGCAAGCGCAATATTCCATCAGGAAAACAATTTCAACTGGATTCAACCTGTAGGACCCACAACAAATGCAAATTTATAAATATTTCTTGCATGGAGAGGTGTGGAATAAATATTTAAAAAACATGAGAAGAGGAACTTATTTCAATAGTATTATTTTCTACTTATTTGATGACACTGATTAAATTATATAAAAAACTTACATTTTACTCTTTTTTTCACACACATTTCTGATAGCACTGGGACCTTTTTCTTGTATGATCCTTAAAATTACCTCCACAGCCATGCATGTTGAGTTCCACTTAGTCTTATTTGGCCTGTTGAGCTGGAGCTTGCATTTCTCTTCAACTATTTCTGCTGCCAAGTATGACCGACCTGTCTTGTTCTACATTGCTTGGCATTTCGCAAAAGCAGGTCTTTGTATGTGTCATTATCTTTTGTGTTTTTCATTTTTCTGCCAAAGCAGCATCAGTTGTGGGGACTAAATATAACAAGTGGCATGCACACCTTTGATGTCAAGAAAGCTGGTACTCAAGACCATTGTCCTTTTCCAGGATGTCATGCGTGTCAAGGTACTCAGATTCGGACTCTTGGTAAGAATCTTGTTCAGATTCTGACTCTGCTTCCTGATTTTGGCTTTTGTCTCCAAAAACACTAAATGCTTTGATAAAGTTTGAGCCACTGTCATTTGTGGTTCTCACCACTTTTCTCCTTTTCTGTATTTACAATGAATATCATCAAGAGTGATCCCCTCAATCTCTAGCAAGCAAGTGTGGCCGATCTTCTTTCCAAGGTTTCCTCATCAATCCAATGAGCTGTTGATGAAACTTTGCTGGTGTGCAGACGAGCAATCAGTAGTTGTTGCAACATACCTGACTTTACTGAGGATTGAGAGCAAAGTCTTTTTGACTTTGATGGCAGCAATATCAATTCTGATCCAAAGAGACAGTCTGGATTGTTACAAAGGTAACAACCGATCAAGCATAATCTATAAGTAAACAATGCACTGAAATGTGAAACGTCTAACAGTCGAATTTGATTAAAAACAATTGGACCGAAACGCGTCTGATCAAGCCAAAATGATATAAATAGAGAACAGGAAGATGAAATAGGGTCGCTTGTTTGTTTGCTCAGAGTTTGTAGAATTGTTTGATGTTGAGAAGAAGATATAGTAGAAGAGATATTAAGAAGAATTTTGTAGAATATTAAATTTAATAAACATTAAGTTACACGTAAAATAGTATCGTTTATATTAGTTTTAGTAATACAAAATAAATTGTAATTAACTAATAGTTGTTTGGAATTATTATTTTTAACTGCTAACCTACACAAAGAATTAAAGTTCAGGGAATATAATAAATATTTTAAAATATAACAGTAATCTCTACTACATACTACGTAACAGGATATAACTTTGCAATCCAGATTTAGTACATGTTTAAAAGTTTTTTAAAAGCAGGTTGTTCAACCAAAGAAAATGGATGGAGGTTGTCACAAATAAATGTTGTCAGGAGGTTGTCACAAATAAATGTTGTCAGGAGGTTGTCACAAATAAATGTTGTCAGGAGGTTGTCACAAATAAATGTTGTCAGGAGGTTGTCACAAATAAATGTTGTCAGGAGGTTGTCACAAATAAATGTTGTCAGGAGGTTGTCACAAATAAATGTTGTCAGGAGGTTGTCACAAATAAATGTTGTCAGGAGGTTGTCACAAATAAATGTTGTCAGGAGGTTGTCACAAATAAATGTTGTCAGGAGGTTGTCACAAATAAATTGGATCATGAGCTTGTCAACCTGTTACAAACGTTTGTTTGCACCCATAGCAAACATGTCACTTATTTTTCCTTGCTTTTTTGGTATTTCTGGTGGTTTCAGATTTTGCTTTTTTGTTATTGCAAAGTCACTAAAGGCCTTCATCTTTGATGGATATTTTCTCTGTAAAAAAATATTTGTCATCATTTTAGCCAATGTTATATTTATTTAACATGCTAAATTTAAAATGTTTGTGTGAAACCAATTATTATTTGGTGTTAAAAATGTTAAAATATTAAAAAAAAAACTAACATTAAATTACCTCAACATGCTTGCGGAGGATTGAGGTAGAATTTTTATATGCTGCTAATTCAGTCAACTTGAGCAAACACACTTGAAGTCAAAGTGGTTGTTTTTTTCAAGTCTGGCCATGGGTTTGCCTCAAAAGAAGTTGGTTGCAATTCCAATTCAGCTGGGTTTGCATTTAATTTGTCCAATTGTCTAATTATTTCTTTTCTCATTACTTTAAATCCATAGAAAAATGAACTTTGAGTTTGTTGACTTTTTCTTAACCAAACATCAATTTTTTATCAAAAAATTGATGTTTGGTTAAGATTTAAGAAAATTTTTTTTATGGTCATAAAAAGAAAAAGTGAAAAGAAACCAACCTCAAGCAGTTAAAAGTTGTTATGAGCACGCTCAACAATATTTTTTAAACAATTTAAAAGTGTCACCCTTATTAAAGTAGGCAAAACTCAAAAAAAAAAATAATGATAAATAAAATTTAGAAGTATTATATTTACGAGTAAACAATATAATCAGGTAGAAAATTCCATATCTTGATAATTCTTTCACAGTAGAAAAATCTCTGTGTATCATTTTTACATTTAATACGTGAATAAAGTTTTTGTGCATGACATTTTGTAGGATAGTAAGAAGGAGCAAATGTAAAAACTCTGAAAAAGGTAGATCGGCAAGGCTGTGTATAATTTTATAGGTCATTACAAAATCAAATTTTATTCTATGGCATTCAAGGGATTCTAGATTGAAGATATTGAGTCTTGAAGACACATCTTTTACAGACACTTCTAGTAAAAAATTTTTGAACCTTTTCTAACTGGCGTATATCTTTTAAAAGATGGGGATTCCACACATTCTATGATAGGTTGAACATAAACTTTATAGGCTTTGAAGCTTGAAATCATTACTGATGAAGGATTTTAAAAGTAAGTAGGAGTGAGAATACGCCTTGCTTGCAATAAAAGAACAGTGATTAGAAAATTTCATATCCAAAGATACGACTATACCGATATCTTGAATTGAACTAATAGATTCAATAGGTGTACCAATGTTCATTGAATATGAATTTAATGGTAAAGAACTGTTTCCATAGCGTAGATGAAAACATTTTTTGTTTGCTATAT